CAGCGCAATGAGCGGCCGTGATGCAAATCGTGAGCGTCTGGCGCACATGCGCGATTATGGCATATGCCCTGCAACGCAATCTGGCACTGACGTAGAAAGTGGCAGGTGTAAATTGCAAAGATCTCCCAGCAAAACAGAAAAAAAAGGGAGGAAAAAGAGAGAGAGAGAGCTCAAATGGAGGGAAAGAGGTGTAGTCTTTGCTGTGCATAAACAGCACTTCCGCCCCGCCGCCAATTGTCAATTACGATGATGATGATGATGATGATGATGCCTTCGCGAAGCTGCCAAATAGCAGCAGCAGTCCAGAAGATCTGAAGAGGCTTTGGCAGGTGCTGCGCGCTTGGGAGAGCCTGACCGACTTTTCCACTCGTGGGCGATTGCAACCGGTTGCCCTTTCTCCTTCCTAGTAACCGGCCACGCGCATTTTTTCTTAAAGAAAAGACCAAGGAATGGCAAATTTGTGGAAGTAAGTTGGGGACAAAAGGGCTGTAGTGTTCCTGCCTCTTGAAGGCAAGGGCTGCCTGCCTTGCCTGCCTGCCTGGGACTGTTTGCAATATTCTTTTCTCATGCTGCGAATGATGGCTAAAGACGGAGGGGGCAATCCAGGAGCTGGCTGCAGATGCATGGGCTGAATTATATGGGGCGGGCCTCTCCCTCCCTCTTGCCCCTAACGAGTGGCTTACCTCAACGGCTGACGTGCTTAGGTACTCTTTTGAAATCTTGTCCCCCATTCTCAACTTCTGGTGGTTTGGTTTGGTCGAGAAGCAAGAAGATGAACAAAGTCATTGGGAGAAAAAAATAGGAGCTATCTGGTGGGTCTTAATTTGTTCTTTCTGATCTCTGCATGGCTGAATGCATGTACATCTGGAAGCAATCTTGCATTCTACCAATGCCCGTCATTTTCTCTTTCTGAGCAGCTGTTGACTACCGTCTTCACCCGAATAGAATGCCCAGTTATTATAGCTGTATCTGGACTGAAAACTGCACCAAATACGGCTATTATAATGACCGGGCGTTCTATTCGGGTGAAGACGGTAGGGGTCATTGGGTCCTTGGTTGGTGATTGGCCCCCCTGCCATTCCTTATTCCACTTCTCCTCCTCCTTGCGCCCTTTGTTGCCCTTCACCTTCCGTCTGCCCCCCGTTCCCCCCTCCCCTCCCCCCCGCCCCGGTAGGGGTCATTGGGTCCTTGGTTGGTGATTGGCCCCCCTGCCATTTCCTTATTCCACTTCTCCTCCTTGCGCCCTTTGTTGCCCTTCACTTCCGTCTGCCCCCCGTTCCCCCCCCCCCTCCCCCCCCCCCTCTCCCCCCCGCTTCTTCTCCTGCTTTCGAGGACAAGGGAAAAGGAAAAGGAGAACGAAACGAACATCTCCCCAATTAATTGCAAGGGCTCTGGGTCCTCTTCAGTTAATATGCCTGTATCTCGCCCATCTACGATTCTCCTTTCTCTTGCACCTGGTTTATGTTTTTCAGTAGCACTATCGGAAGTCTTTCTTGGTTAAGGAAATAGTAATTGTAGTATCCATGGGCAGGAAAAGTGTTCCACCGTCGTATATGCTATTATGCCGAGCGTGCTGTTGTTGTGAAGTCGCTGTTGAAACTCGGTCTTCACAGGCTGAATATTCCTCAATCCCTTCGAGTTTAGAGAAGCAGCGATCCTGGTGGACTGTGCTCAACGTTCGTTGGGTTTAGTTTGTTCTTGATTCCAAATTTTGCGGAAGGAACATTAAAAGCGGTCTCAGTTTCGGATGCCAATGGCTGGGAGTGAAATCAGGAGGGGACAAGTGATGCAGGTGTTGTGTTGGAGTCTGACTGGTGCAGGAGAGTTGGCATGGGGATGGGGAATGCGGAAGAGGAAGAAGAAACAACCTTAGGGGTGTGAGAGCTTGTTGATGAGGAGGAAGTGCGACGAGGCACAGCCAATTGACGAGGAAGACGTGGCTCACTGGTCGGTGTGAGGTGGAGGATGTGTATGTTGAGTGGATGGGCACTGCGTTCAAAGGGAAAGGGTATCAGTCAAGTGCGTAGGAAGAAGGATGATGAGTCGATGGAAGACATGGCACTGGTCGGTGTGAAGTGGAGGATGTGTATGTTCAGTGGATGGACACTGCGTGCAAAGGGAAACGGTATCAGTCAAGTGCGTAGGAAGAAGGATGATAAGTCGATGGAAGTAGGTAATGAAGAAGGAGAAGACAATGAGACCTTTGGGGGGGCAAAACAAGGAGAAGAAGATGGGCCCAAAAGCATGGAAACCTGCAAAAGCAGAGCGAAAGAGCGACTGTTAATTTGCTCGATTGACTCTAAGATGTGCCTTTTAAAGTTGCTCCGAGCAGCTGTAGGCTCTCTGCAATTCTTTGGGGGCTTGGCGCCGAGGTATGTGCCGGTGCAGATGGTATGTTCGTGGGTGTTGGGTCGTCGAAATGCTGCAGTCCATGGGGGATCTCTTGGAACAGAGGATGTGTTTTGCCCAAATTATCCCATGATAAGTCGATGGGCTGGAGCAAGGGATAGGTTGCCCAAATTGGCAAAGCATAGTTGCAGAGGGTATAAGATAATGCTTGGTGTTTGGTTTTCTAGGCTTCATAACCGGATCAGGAAGGAGCTGGCATTTAACAGCTTTTATCGCCGTGTCTCGCTCTTCTCAAGGAGTGAAGAACTGTGGAGTATATGAAAGCAAAACAGGGCTCACCGCTTCGCCCAGGATGTGGTTGTTGGAAAGGTGTGAAGCAGCGCGTGTTTGTTGCATCGAAGAGATTTGTAGACTGGTTTGTTCAGAACGCGTTTGTGCATCTTGACTCACTGTCGGGATATTAGATGCTTCTTTCTTGCGTTTTACTTCACCACCAGAAGTGGGTTTCTGCTACCATCCGTGGCGGCATACTTCTGCATCGGGTATTACGAGGACAATTGTTGTAATCATGACAGGCGATGCGCATAATAGTAGTTGATATGTCAAGGACTTTTTGACAATGTTTCTTTGTCAGTATGTCTGGCAGTTAAAATTTTGATGATCGGGACAGGTGGTTGCTTTGTTCTCTGCGGAGATATCATTGCTGTGAATGACCAGGTTGTTTCATGGATTCTTTGTGTGTCTGCAATGGTTCATCTGGGTTCTGCTTGTGTCGGATCTCTTTTTTTTCCTATTTGTAAAACTTCAATGAGACTGACTAGTGAAGAGGGTGTAAGTGGCCAGGTAGGGGGCGGGTTTTTGGGTGGGGGGTGGAGGGGTGGGTTTGGACTTGGACACAGAGGAGAGAGCTCCAATTTAGGGTGCGGTTTTTGCTGGGGGTGGGCGGAGGGCCGGGGAAAGGGGGGTCAATTGAGTTGGTGCATTGGGTTTGAAGATGGGCACTTAGGAGACACCGAGGAGAGGGCTCCAGTTCGGGCTGTTTTTTTTTGTGTGTTTTAGTTTAACTGGGTGGGGGGTGCGGTGGGGGGGGCGGGAGGGGAGAGGTTGTTGAGTTGAGATGGTGCATTGGGTTTGAAGGTGGACACCGAGGAGAGAGCTCCCATTTGAGGGTGTGGGGTGGGAGGGAGGGGGTGGGAGGGAGGGCCGGAAGAAGGGAAGGGTTTCAGGTGATGCTGGTATGGATCACTTAACTCTCCTCTTTCTGGTAATTGTTTTTGGTTCCTTTGATCAGATTGGAGCATGTGTTCGCTTGGCTCCTGATGCGAATATGCCGCAGCCACCTTGCGCATTGCAATCTAAAACGTGAACAGGGCACAGTCATCCTGCGGTACAAGTAACATGCGTGTCTATGAATGTGCCTTTCTTTCAGACATGGACCTGGCTGTCGTTGTTTTGCAAGTTTGTGCTGCAGAGGTTGCAAAACTTCAGGCATCAGCAGCAGCGACAGATAGGTGGCTTGCAGTCAGATACCTTCAAGCAAATGGTACAGGGTTGTGCTGATTGCACGTGCACAAAGAATATCGCACTTTTTCTGGCTTGCAAAAGACATGAGGGCAGCGTTGTTCTATATATATGGTTGCTTTCACACCTGTGACTGTAATGGGGCAAACTGCGTATGAAACAATGAAGGCAGGGCGGGCATGTATTGTGCCGTGCTAATGATGGCTGGGCAATTATCGCTGCTGCCTACTGCTGCGACAGTTTGTGGTGCAGACCCGACCCCGCAGAGGCATATCTTTTCCAGGTGCTGTTGTCACTCCCTTTTTCTTCTTTCGAACCGCCTTTTTGAGTTTTGTTTTGTGTGGTAAAGCACAAATTCTTTCTCCAGCCAGAGCATAGAGGCACCTCGTCCTGAGGGAGGTGGTAGGGAATGACAACAGGCTTGATACTTAGGCAGGATGTGGTGAGAGTCGTGACCCTGATGGGCGGAGCATATCCAATTGCTCTCTCAGACAAGAGTCCTATGGACCGTGTGCACTTCACGGCTGTTCATATTATCTCGAATGGACAATTGGTAATGCATGGCCCCTATGCAGTTGATCTTTCCCCGAAGGTTCACTGTGAACGCTGTCCTGTCTGCTGTTACGGCGTCGCCCTGTGGGACCAAAAGTGCATTCCTGCTGTGCTGCTGGTGGAGGCGGATGGTGTTCGGTAGTGGGACTCGGTCAAAAGTGCATACCTGCTGTGCGCTGTGAGGTGTGGAGTGTGGAGCGGGGAGAGGTAGCAAATCCATTCAGCTTGCCAGCAACTGGGATGTCTCTGCGGTTATTATGAGTGTTTGACAAACTGATTGCGTGTTTGTATTTCGAAGGTGATGTGTCTGCATCATTGACACTGCTCTAAAGAGAGAACACCCCTGATGTATGAGTAGGTTGATGCCTCCAGTGTGGTGCAATGAACACATTGCGGTTCTGTGATGTGTTGTTCGGCGGAAAAGTGCAGTTCGTCCCTGGTGGAAATGGATTGTGATCCTGACACATTCTGTGGCAGAAAAGTGCAGTTTGGCCCTGATGGAAATGGATCGGGTGCCTGGTACGCTGTCTAACGGAAATGTGTAATTTGCCCATTATGGAAATGGATGTGCTGTCCAGATGCAGAGTCCAGAGATGTGCAGAGATTTCATTGCTGGAAGGTGCCACCGAGGTCCATCCTGCAGGTCAGGAAATGGCTCGTCCTCTCATCTCTTTGTGTCGATGGTTGAACCAAGTCACGTTCATGAGAAGTGTCAGGGAATGTGCCTCAAAAGGATGGGGCTTAAATACTTCGTTTGCTGTTATGTCCGTAAATTTGGGTCTGATAGCATCACCGTCCTTGTGAAATGTGCTTCTGGAGTTTTCCTTATGTTTCAAGTTTGCTGTTATGTCCGTAAATTTCGCTGTCTGATGTTGTCAGTTGGGCGTGCTGTGCTGAGGGGGAACCTGAGGAGGGAAACGTCTGGTTGCTGAGGGAAGCATAGCTCTTTCTTGACATATTACTGAGATTGAGTTCGCAGCGAACGGCTGCCCCAACGAGTGGGCATGGTGAGGAAGAGGCGCATCCGTTTGAAATGGTTGATGTGCTGTCTGAATGTCCAACTCCTTCCAGTGTGGCTACCCCTCAGCGTCCTGGAAGTATTGTGTGCGGAGGTTCCTACCGTCTTCCTCGGAACATTTGGCTGTATGTGACCGGAAAATAGCTTTGATACATTCATTATCAGGGTGTGTTATGTTCGGGGGAAGATGGTAGTGATTGTTGACGGCTGGATGATGAATGATTGGTTGGGGATGTAGCCCTCGTTAGGATGTTTGTTTAGCCCTTCTGATTTGCCTGTTTGGAATTGTTGTGTGCAGATACTCTCACTCCACGACTGGTTCTGACTCACATGAGGTGAGGTTTCTCCTCTTCTTTTTCCTTCTGTGTCTGAATTGCAAAAACCTTGAAAGCTCGGTTTCCTTCAGTTCTCCTAACGGTTTGTGAAGCATGCGATTTGTCTTTCTGGGGTCTTCCTAACCCGTCCATTTCAGTATCGGAAATGCAGTCAAACATTACAGTTTGATATACTGATGAGCGAAGTTGGGTTACATTATATTGGAAATGCGGAGAGTGTTGTTCCGTATTCGGGTATTGTGTGAACTTGAAACTGATGGGATGGGTTTCAATTGACGTGCGACTATGCTTGATCTCATGAAATGGAATAGAGATAGCTTGTTTTTTTTTTAGCGAAGTGGGCTGGGTGTGATGTGCAGTCGTTTTTTTGAGTGAATATGCAGTATTGGTCTCTCCACTGACACCTTGCGGCATTTAGTTCTCGTCTACTCTTTCCAGAAGGACGGCATGCCTGCTAGAGTATGTGCATAGGGGTGGGGGGGGGGGGGAAGTCTTTGTAGGAACTCCGCCGCTGTCACAAGTGTGGTCATGCTGGGTTCATGACGTTGAATTGTAGTACCTTGATTTTTAGGTGTGTGGTCCCATCTTTTCAATAGAGATGGCAGTCGTTGTTGGTGTGAACTAACTGCGGTAACAGTGACCCGAACTCATTTTGGGGAAGTCCAGTGGCGGCCAGTTCTCCTTGTGAGTGCGTTTCGGGAGTAAGGTAAGCCTTTGAACTGAGGTGATGGATCCAAAGATGGAGCCGGTTTGCGCAGTGTTCGTTGTCAAAACATTGGATGTGCTTTGGCTCCTCGGGCTCGAGTGGTTTTGGTCCTGGTGTTGAGACGATGATGCTGTTTTTTTTGGGAAGCTGGGCACTTTTGAATTGGCTATGATTTTGGGGCAAATCTCAGCTCTGCTTGGTTGTAGCATGGTGATGCTTTTGGCATACTGATACTCTTGAACTGCTTGGTTCTTTGTCCGTTTTGCAACCTTGTCTGGCTTCAAACAGAGGAAATACTCCGGACATATGGTATGTGAATAATTTCCACTCGTTACTTGCCTCAACCGAAGCAACCCCTTCTTCCCCCTCTCTTCCCCTTTCCCCCCCCTCCCCCCTCCCCTCCCTCTTTGCACCCCCCCATTCGCCATCCTCCTCGCGACGCTTGTGCTATGTCTAGACACCCGAAATCTTAACTTGAGGGGGTCTGTCCGTTTTACTCATTCCATGTTTTGTTTTTCTCTGGCTGTCTGTGTACCTGTTGATTACTATTACTCATATTTGTACTGTATGGCATGGTCCTCACCTATCTAGTTCATTTGCCATCGTAATGACGGCCATGTAGTGATCCCTGGGACCAAAGAATCTGTCCTCCACGATGCTCATGCATAGGGAAAGGGAACGATCGTTTGGTTGTTCTTGCTGACTTTTTCTGTGCTGCATGCTCCCTTGAGGAGGCTGCATCTGCTGGCTTGGGCTCAGTCATCCAGTGTCCGGTGTGTGGTTCTCGGTTCTGGCAAATCAAGGGGTAGCTCTTTGGTTGGAGGTTGTCATAGCTGCATGAGATAAAACACCTGGAAGGAAGTGCAATGAAAATCCTTCACACCTGAAATATGTAGTGTTGTCAGTAAAAGATAGAGCCGTTTGTACATGACAACATTACATAGATGTGGTATACAGCGCACAGACGTAGGGATGTGAGGAATGGATGTGGTGATTTTTGTTGACCGCTTCAAAATTTACAAACCTTCTGTGTTCCCTTCTCACCGTGGCCGTCTGCCACATGTCGATACGCAAGTATTTGCTGTGTGCAATTCCCGCATGATTTGTCTATGGAGTTTTGGCGAATAATCTTGCCTCTGTGATTTCTGTTACCTCAGTTTTCCTTTCCTCCCGTTTTCCTCTCTCCCTTCCCTCCATTTTGTTGCTGGCAATGAAAATCTGTGTATGAGAGAGAGAGAGAGAGAGAGAGAGAGAGAGAGAGAGAGGTCTAATCTGAAGTTCCGAAATCCGATGCATCGGGGAACTCTGCATTGTCAAATCTTGATGATGAAAGACACCTCATGGGGGGGATGTTGAGCTTCTTGCCAAGTAAACGTGTTTTAGCAGAAGCTTAGACAGCAATTTTCTTTCTAATTGCTGATAAGTGTTGATGGTGTGCTGATGTTGTTCGTTCTGCCAGGCTCCACTGTGCCGCGATTTCTCGAATGGGAGATGCAGTCGAGGATCAGATTGCAGGTGTGTTGTCTTGTGGGCGTGCCATACGTTGTTTGGTTGTGTGGCTTTTAAACGATGTCCATGAGACACCCTGTGGCCATGAGGGGTTCTTGGAAACGAAATTGTAAGAGCGGCATTCTGTCAGAAATATTCCACAAGGGAGATGAAATATCAGTGAGGTACCTGATGGTTGCGTGTTTTGAATCCACTTATACACGCGGACCCTTCCCAGAAAAACCCGCTGTACAAAAGTGGGGTGTCAGCCATTGGCTGCAAGCTCGTGTTCAGTTTCACTATTTTGGCGTAAAGGTAGCAAAACAGCCTTTTTGGCAGTATCGGTAGCTGCAACGGAGATGGTAATAGCGCAAGTGGTGTTGTGGCTGTATGTGTATTGTCCCGTCCTGTCCTTATCTAATTTCAAAACAAGTGGAGAGGCCACTCTCTCTCTCTCTCTCTCTCGCTCGCTCAGTGTCTTTCTCTCTTTTGTTTGTTCTTTCTTTGGCTCTGCACTCCTCTCTTTCTCTCTCTCTCTCCTCTCTCTCTCTCTTTTCAGGCAATCATGGTTCCTACCTTGTCTACTGCGCTGCCTCCATTTGCACATTCCATTTTTCTCGTGTTGCAATCATGTTTCTTTATTTGTCCTTGCCTTGCAATTCACATTGTCAAGTAAATTCCTTACACTGATCACAACTGCCCTTAGATGCGGCCTTCGGCTGTCATTCTGTCTTCTGTTCTTCTCATGCCTCACCCTTCCTACTCCCTCTTCCAGCGATTGCATCGTCCACCGTTCGTTTTCTGGTGCGGGCGATGCTGCACTGGGCCTCGTTTGTTGATTATGTCATTGTTGGGATACTGGCGATAAATAGTCTCACCTGTCCTCATCTTCTCGTGGTAAAGGTGGGAAAACTAGACTTTTCTGGCGATACTGGTGGCCTGAAGCTGCCCGTATGTGGTCCCGGCCTTGCACGCTTTCTTCATTACGTGCTCCTAAAATTGTGGAGGCTCGGGGCTTCCGGACCACAATGACTGGCAGCGGCAGCCAAAAAGCCGAAAATGCAAAAAAAGCATGCTGCTGGGGGTTTGGCTACAAGCTCGGTGCACAGTGCGACGCCACCAGGCGTGGTTGCACTGGTTGTTTAATGGAGATAATAGTAGTTTGAGCCGTCTCAGGAATGGGCCTTCTAGGACCAAAACTTGTCTTTTATTATGTGAGCTTATGTGTGTGCTTCCTCCTTTCATCATCTTGTTGATGGTGTGATTTTTCTGGGGCTACAGTCTTCCCCTGAATATAACGCACCCTTATTTTGGCTGTATCTTGCCGGAAATATAGCTTGTATGCATTCATTTTTAGGGTGCGTTATGTTTGGGGGAAGACGGTAGTGATAAATAATCTGACCAGGATCCCCAATGACTGAATGTGTGAGGGCCCCCCTGTTGTAGTTTTGCTCAGTGTGCGCCTGCGAATTGCTGCTGACTGGACAGTGGTGGAGCTTAGAAATTCTGCACAAGCCATCTTATGGTTATCTGATATGTCTGGGATTGGGTCCTGTAGAATCACCACTGGAAATGCTTGTGCTTTGGCTCCACTTACGCTTCCTCACTCAGTCCTTGAAGATGCTCATGCCTCTGCCCAGGGCGGCACTCGGTCCATGGCGAAGCTCGTGGATCGTCTATTCCCTCACGACTAATCCAATGACCTGGTTCGTTGCTGTTCCTCGCCCCCCGCACCTGTTTCCACTCGTGCTTGATTTGCTCCCACTGAATTGTTGCCTTGGATTCCAGCGCTTGGGTTCGAGCCTTCCAGGGTACTGAGGAAGCGATCACCGTGTAGACTCTGTAGATCCCGTCGCTAACCAGGAAGGGGTGCAGGTGGACTACATATGCGGACCTGTGGCCTGTTGTGCAGTTGGCGCAGTGATCAATCTCTTTGTTCGTGAAGATTGGGTAGTCAAGTGGGCACCCTTGAAGCTCTAGAACAGAACACCGATCGCCGAAGCCTAACACACACCAGGGTGGCCATTACCGTCCAACCCGAAATCTCCCCCACG